GCAGGGCTGGCCATGGCTTCCATCTCTCTATGGACCGGGGTCCGTCGGGTTGGCAGGTTGGCGGGTGAAGTGCCTGGCGGCTGGCCGGTTCGCACAATGAGAACACCCAAGTTGGGATCCCCAATCCCCGCAGACCAGCGATGATTTTTTCGAGCTCAGGGTTTAGGGTTTAGGGTGGCCCTAAACCCTAAACACTGAACCCACGATGACGTACGCGGTAGGAGTGTTAAGGTTTACAGGGGTATCTAGGGGTCGGTGATCACAACATCCGCGTTGCACCACCGTCATAAGACTGCCGTGCTGTCCATCCTCGATCGCGCGCGAGTTCTGGAGACTGCCACCTCAATCCCGAATCCGGAAGCTTGCTTGCCCGCATGGTCCGAGTACGAAACATACAACTGATCCCCTGAGCCTGAGCCCTTCTAACCTCAAAACCCTTAAACCCTAAACCCTTAAGCCCTTAAGCCCTTAAACCCTTGAACCCTTGAACCCTTGAACCCTTAAACCCTTAAACCCTTTAACCCTTTTAACCCTTTAACCCTTAAACCCTTAGACCCTTTAACCCTTTAACCCATAAACCCTAAACCCTAAACCCCTAAACCCTAAACCTTGGACCCTTAGACCTCCTGAGGTGGCTTTCGTTTTGCAGCAATGCTTGGCGAATCTTCCCCGGCGCCGTTCAGCTTAACATGTCACCCTAAACCCTAGACCCTAGACCCTAAACTCTAAACCCTAAACCCTGAACCCAAGCCTTATGTCCATCATGTCCAACTCGCTCTTCTTTGCATCATCCAGCTGGTGCAAGTCCAGAAAAAGCAAACGCAATCAAGCCGTGTGTTTGTTCAGTGTGTTTTGGTGCTTACGGTGCTTAAATGCGCCATAGGGTAGTGGGTTTGTAGGATTTAGGTTTCTCAGGTTCAGGTCAAAGTAGAAGATTAACTAAAAAGCTGGTGCCTGAGGAAGACTGGCCGCCACACATTGCGCCTATAAACCCTTATTACCGCTGCGTGCCCTCGCGCCGAAAACAGGCTTTTGGAGCAACTTCCCGAGCCCGATGGCATCTGTTTAGGGCCCCCGACAGGATGCCTCAAACCACCCAAAGTCTACATTAGGGTTTAGGGTTTAGGGTTTAGGGTTTAGGGTTTAGGGTTTAGGGTTTAGGGGTAAAGAGCCCCAGATCCGAGATCCTGTCATTTGGGCGGTTTGGGAGAAAGGCTTTAGTTGGGCTTCGTGGCCCTCGCCCAGGCCACTGCTGCTTCACCACCCACAACTGCCAGGATACTCTGCAGGATTGAGGATTCAGGGTTCGGAGCCAGCTGGAAGATATCATGAGAGAGCGAACCGCCCGAGAAACCGACCGGCTTTGGAGATGTGTACTGCCTTGGTGCTCTCTCGGCTAGAGCCCGTAGCACCCCAGAAACTACTATTTGCTTAAGAAACCCCAGAAAATAGAAAATGCCAATCCCTATATTGCCCTTATAAGGAAGAATGTTTTTCGTTATTCTTTGGGGGGGTTCTTAAGCAAATAGTAGGAAACCGTACCATTTCCTTGGCCCCTAAACCCTAAACCCCCAACCCCCATTCATCTTCCTCTGGTGGCTGCCAGGACCGCCCCACTTCCCGAAAGCTTTGGCGAGTCGGAAACTCGAGAGCCATTGATGTTTGTCACCCCTGCCCCCGACGCTAAAGCCTGGACAGGGCTTTTAGGGCTTAGGGCTTTGGGCTTTGGGCTTAGGCTTTAGGCTTTAGGCTTTAGGCTTTAAGGCTTTAGGCTTTAGGCGGAGAGCAGGGGCGGAAACAGCAAGAAGTATGAGAACCCTATGTAGCCGAAGCTCCAAACCCTCCCAAACCTGAACCCGAGACTCTGACCTCTGGGTCTCACGGGCTTCTAAACCATCTCATTAAGCCCCGGGAGACCGAGGTCCTAGAAGCCCTACAAACTCTGCAACCTTGAAACCCTAAAGCCCGAAGCCCTTTAAACCCTACTAACCCCAGGAGCCCCCAAAACCCAAGAGATCTAAACCACTGAAGACCCTAAACCCTAAACCCTAAACCCTAAATCCGACTAAGAGCCGGCTGATGCTTCCAGTGTGTGTGCTGCCTCGCCTGCGCCTGCTGATGATGTTGCGGGTTGCTGCGGCGAATGTCGCTCATGCAGGTTTAGGAGCTTCTCTACCCGGAGGTTCATGGTACTTATTCACCAATTATATCTATAACTGCACTTCTAACCCTCTTAGAAGCTCCTTAAGTGCGCTAATAATATGGTTATAAGTACAGTTATAAGTACCTCCAAGTACTCAGGTGTCCCCCGAGCTTTCCGGGGCGGAATCAAGAGCTCTACCCCTCTGACCCCAACACCTCAACCCCTTCAATCCTCTGCCCTTAACCCTAAATCCTAAACCCTAAACTCTGAACCCTAAACCCAAAACCCTAAACCCTAAACCCTAAACCAACCTGCAAAGTCGCGAGGTCTGGCCTGCTCCAGCTGCGAGTGCTGCGGCAGGGCGTCGGAGCCCTGGCTCTCCTCAAAGGCTTTTGGTGTCAAGGTTTGGGTTTCCAGGTGTTTAGGGTTTAGGGTTTAGGGTTTACGGTTTACGGTTTGCGGTTTACGGTTTACGGTTTAGGGTTTAGGGTTTAGGTGTCAAGGTTTGGGTTTCCAGGTAGGCCCTTGGGACATTTTTCATCTTCCCTTACTGGGTTTAGGAGGATATGTTCCCTTATTGGGTTTAAGAGGAGAATCTTTACATTTTCCCTTACTGGGTTTAAGAGGAGAGTATTTAGGAATCTTTTTTCAGCGGGTCTTAAGGGCCATCCAAAATTTAAGGTTGCTGCGCTTGAAGGCTCTGAAGTTGCGCGGGCGGACATCTATGCACTGGAACCTGAACCTTCGAGATCCTTTCAAGAATTTTCAGAGGGTTTAAGCACAACTCAGACAAGGTTTTGGGCATTTCTTCAGGTCCGTTCCGTACGCGAAAGCTGTCAGCCCCGTGTCCTTGCACATTTCCTCCCGGCGGGCTTTAGCCTTGCCTGGCCTACGGAGGTGCCACAAGCAGATGTCCAGGTGGAGCCCTCCATGACTGCGCTGAGCTCAGCTTGAGTTTCGGGTTTAGGGTTTGGGGTTTGGGGTTTGGGGTTTAGGGCTTAGGGTTTAGAATTTTTCGCCCTTGTGCTTTTGGTGAATTTCTCGCGCTTTCGCTGGCCCTCCGCTCCCCCTCTTCCAAACCCTAAGCCCAAGTCGCAGGCCTAGGACGCTTTCAAGCAAATTTGTACAGGACAAATGGAAAGTGAGAACTGTCCTGACAAATGAAAGGTGGCATTTGTGGGTTAGTTTTTCGCTGACATGGCAAATGATACATGGTAAGTTGTGAGTGCTAGAAAAGGAGGAGTGGCAAGATATTGTGCCGATAGTATGGCGTTCCCTTAACCCTAAACCCTAAACCCTATAAAGAATGGTGAGCCTGCAAGACAGGCTCTTGCAACGCTCTGCCATGGCTCCCTCAAGCTTCAGGTTCAGATCTTGCAATGGCTTGCAACGCGGCTTCTCTGCCTGGGTTCATCTTCCTTTAGGGTTTAGGGTTTTAGGGTTTAGGGTTTGTAAGGTTTAGGGCTTGGGGTTTTGGGCTTAGGGTTTCGGGTCACAGCTCCCCTAGCCAGGGGAGGCCCAGGGTTTCACAAGTGACGACATCCGCACTGCCATCGCAACGGGCGTAGCGATGACAAGAAAGCTTAAAAAACCAAGCTTCAGCTTCGTTGTCGAGGAGCTGTCGCGGTCGACACGAGAGCTGGCGGGCAGGTATCAGTCAAAAATTGTGGGTTTCGGGTTTAGGGTAGTTATAGTTAGGGTACCCTTTTAAGGTAGTTATGATACGGGTGCCCTTGTCGGGTAGTTATAATAACGGTACCCTTTGGGAGGGGAGAGAGCAACCAATGCGTTTTCGAGGACAACCACAATCACCATGCCAGCCGATGACTCATAATCCAAGCTCCAAAGGACTCTCCCCAGGCGTTCTTGCCCCAAGTTTAGGGTTTAGGGTTTAGCTAGGGTTTAGGGTTTAGGGTTTAGGGTTCCCAAAAAGGGGGCCTTCCCGTAAAGGTGGAGCAGCTGAAAAGTGGCCTGGCCCCGCAACTGCGGGTCCCTGTGGAGGAGAGATTCGGGGATTCCTTTTCGGCTTGGGGTGTGAGGGTTTAGGGTGTATAGGGTTTAGGGTGTAGGGTGTAGGGTTTAGGGTGTAGGGCTTAGGGTTTAGGGTTTAGGGTTTAGGGTTTAGGGTTTAGGGTTTAGGGTTTAGGGGCCCCCAAAAAGGCAGCCGCACCTGGCAGTTGCTCAAGGGGGGGGCCCTTGGGTTGCCAAGAGCCATGGGAATCTAGGGTTTTGGGCTTAGGGCTTAGGGTTTAGGGTTTAGGGTTTAGGGTTTAGGGTTTTGGGGGTTATCGTAGTATACTTATAAAGAGGGCCCTGAGGGAGTAGAAGTAAAAGCTCCGACTCCTGTAGTACTTGTTTAAGGCGGGTAAACGTTTTAGACTGTTGCCGGAAGCCCTAGAGGATCATCCTCGGGTTTGCGGGGCACCTTCCAGGGGGTAAGGGTTTAGGGTTTAGGGTTTAGGGTTCAGGGTTTAGGGTTTAGGGTTTAGGGTTTAGGGTTAGGGTTTAGGAGCTCCCCATATAGTTGTGCAATACAAACTGTCGACGTCAATGAAATGAGGTCGCTATGCCGTCTGCGCATCGTGTGCCACCCTCTAGACAGCTGTATGTACCAGTGGCTGTGCTGTGACTAGACAAGATCCATCTGCAGCAAGACCAAATGGAACTCCCATACCTGCAGCGCGCATGCCCGGCAGCTTCTTGGCTCAGCTCCAGACCCAACGTCAAGCCAACTCAAACCCAACCGCGAAGACTGGCAAAGCCTGACGTCCACCCGTGCCAAAGCCATAACCCCTTGAATCCCCACTAAGCCCTAAACCCTAAACCCTAAACCCTGACTTCCAAAGCTTCCACTGCCATGACCGGCGATGCTGTGGCCCCTGCTCCCAAAAAGCTGGTGGTCGGCTTGACTGGCGGAATAGGCTGCGGCAAATCCACCGTCTTGAGCCTCGGAGATGTAAGATGTCCAGAGGAAACGGTTTCCACGATGTCCTTGTTTAGTTGGAGGTGGGGGGGTATGTGTCTAGTTGCCGCGTCCTTGGGTCCCACCAGTGGATGAGTTTAGATGCGCAGCAGGGTTCTGGACTCCACATTGTGCATGTCTACCCTGACACTTGAAACGCACCCCAAGTTCCGCAGCAACTGAATAGTCCATGATGTTTTCAACTCTCTCAGGGCCTCAAGGTTCTCCCCCCCTCCGAGGGAGTGGCAAGCCCCCAATCCTGACAGGAGATGTGGGGTAACCCTAAACTTGGCAAACATATGTACGCAACAATAAAGCTCAGCCCTGCGATGGATCATGTCGTTTCGAACCCCCCCCCAAAAAAAAAACAAAAAACAACATGTCAAAAATCACAACTAAGTAGTCCTGATGACAAACCTAAAGTTGCAATTAAGTGACAAAAAGTTATAACCCACCAACAGTTTGAAATTTGGCCGGTACTCAGCAAGCACTACCTGAGAAAGGCGAGCTGGCAGCGAAAAGTATGCTTCCTCCAGGGTGCAGTCGGAATAATCCCCCCCCCCACCCCCCAGACTCCCCTGAGCGGAACAAAGAGAACACGATTGAGGAAGAAACATCACCAGCCATTCTTGAGCCTTCAGATTCCTACGGAACAGCTTCGCCCGTAGCCAAAAGCTTGGCCCCGGAAGAAAGATGCAGAGAGAGAGTGAGAAAGCTGGGCGTCAGGTTTCAGGTTTCGCGGCTTCGCAGCTTCGCAGCTTCGGGAACCCTAGCGGCCCTAGAACTCCAGCTAAAACCTGCCTCTTCAGGCCTTTGAGAGTGATAGAATCCGTGCTCTTTTGACTCCAAATCTGCCTGGGAATCGATTTCTTGTCCTCAAAACGATGAAGGAGGTGCCAAAGCCAGGGGAGTGGAGTGCTTCCAGCGAAGCCGGCCCGGGAAGCATCGTATATCATTGTTCCTAGTAGTAGAGTAGGTAACCTTTAACCTCTTTGGGCATAATCCCCTTATCATCCCAAAGGTTAGCCTTGAGTTCCCCTAGGTATTGGACAACTAGGTGTTTCAGCCTCCGAGACTCCCCCCTAGATTCAAGCGCTGTTGCTTTGGGGCCCCTTGGGGACTTCCGAAGCTTAGACCTCAGCCCCTAAACCCCTTCAACTAAGGGTTTAGGGTTTAGGGTTTAGGGTTTAGGGTTTAGGGTTTAGGCTTGATGTCTCAAGCTCTCCCTGGGGCGCAATGAGGAAACACTTGGGCAGCCTTGGCTGCTCGTGTAGCGACGACGATGCGATCGTCCACGCGTCTGCTGTCTGAAGAGTTCCGGGTTTAGGGTTTAGGGTTTAGGGTTCAGGGTTTAGGGTTCAGGGTTTAAGGTTGCAGGGGCCTAGGGTTCTTTGATTGGGCTTCCGGGCACAACATCCAAAAGCTGCCAACCATAGTGCTCAAGATGTCTTGTATGTTCCCTCCTTTTGAGGCCTGAAGACTTCGGTGCGGTCCAGCAGACTTTTTTGTGAAATTGGATTCGGGTCATTGCTCAGTCAGCTCGCTTGCAAGTTTGGAAGCCCTAAACCGCAAACCCTAAACCCTAAACCCTACTTGGAAGCCCTATATATACACCCGAATAGACAAAGCAAGGCTCGCGCGTAGAGAGCTGGCCATGATGAACCTGTCCCTACTTCCCCCCTATTAAAATTATCATCCGGAGCTAGTATAGGGGGCCCACTCTCTGAAGCTGCAAATTGCTTAAGAATCCCCAAGAGTTAAAAAAAATGTCCTTCTTAGGGCAATCTGGGGATTATTATCTTTGAGTTTTTGTTGGGGGTTCTTCAGCAAGTAGTAGCAAGCTTTTTGAGTCTTTTTCGTGCCTCGAGTCTTTATGCTCCGGGCGGCGCGGCTGTGGCGCCGCTGCTGGAGCGATTTCCGGCAGCCGCTGCAGAGGATGGATCCGGAAGGTTTTGCCGTTTGAGGGCCCAAAGTTCCTCGAGCTGTAGCTTTTGACAGAGACCAACTTCCGTCTGGTGAGGAGGGCCGGGGGGCGGGGCTAGGTTCCAAGGCAGGGGCGTCGTGTTCCGTTCCTTATGGCTTTTGGGTTTGGTGGCACGCTTCTATGTGAGTTTTGGGAAAGGCTGTAAGACTGTAGGGGTCGAGAGGTTATGAGGGTTTGGGTTTCGTCCACGGCAGCCACCGAAACCCGAAGCGTCAAGTCCAAGCCCTATCTGGACCCAAATCTTTTAAACAATATCAGCCCTAAATTTTCTCCATGGAACACTCTCATACAGCTAAGTTTTAGACCCTAAACCCCTAATTCTTTGTGAAGCTCCTTTCGCTTTTGCAGGGAGGTGGCATATCGCGCGAGGCTTTGAGCGAAGCCCTGCGGCATCTCAGCAGCAAAGCAGTTGGGGGTTTACGAAAATGGGGGGACCCTAAAACAGGCCCCCAAGAGTAAGATCCCCCGTGTAATAAGGACCCCAATAAGGCACCCCTAATTTCGGAAACCCCAGTTCTCAAATCTTTTGGAATGACTGGAACTATTTTGTGGCCACAGCTGGATCGTCAAGGCTTAGGTTTAGGGCGTGGGACCCTCAGCCGGAACTAAACCTTTCCAGGTCCTCACCGGATCCGGCTGCAAGCTTGAAAGAGCTCGAGGCTATTCTCACGAAGATCTTGCTGATGGGCTTTGACTTTTTCCAGCTTTGATAAAAGGTGAGTTACGTGATGCCGCTGTAGTATGTTTTTTTTGTGTCAGGCCTTCCGTGTCTTCGGGGTTTTTGGGCTCAGCGGCGAACTGTCAGTTGCACTTCAATTCATGCCTCTTTCATGGGCTTCAGTAGTGGTTGAGGGTTTTGGGCGGGTGTAGGGAGTCAGGGATAGCCAGGGTTCACAGTGCGCTAAGGCGCACTGAAAGGCTCCTACAGATTGATCAGCCAGGCTTTGGTGACCCACGAAGACTAAATTCCGCCCGGAACCCCTAAACCCTAAACCCTAAACCCTAAACCCTAAACCCTAAACCCTAAACCGCTTTTCTCTGGCAGGCTATCGTCCACCCTCTGGCCCCTCGGCTTGCGCATCTGCCCTTTTTCCTGCCGACGAGAGCTTCCGCCTCAGCTCTCTACACCCTCAAGCCTCTCAACCTCCTGAGGCCCTACTCAAGCCCTAAGCGCCCCCCCCACCTCCGTTTCATACGCTGAAGTTCCGCAACCCTAAACCCTAAACCCTAAACCCTAAACCCTAAACCCTAAACACCTCGGCCTTTTTTTATGAACCACGAGCACAGGTCTTCCAACAGCGCCAGCTCTTCATCGAGAGCGCGAGATCCTGGCTCGTAGTCGTGGACTCGCCGTCGCCCGCTTGAAAGCTTGGGGGGGGGGGGGGGGGGGCATGTAGCTACATGTAGCTACCCAAAGAGAGGCAGAGCAAGCAATGCCCACTCGAAAGATTCTTTCAAACCTCTGGGTAGATGTGGCAGTTTGAGGGCGTTCCTCAAGCATCCGTGAGAACATGTGAGGCGAAGCCGAAGCAACATTTCATTCAAAAACAGACATCTGGCACAGCGGCCAGATGTCTCGCAGTGCAGCATTGTCAGTCGAAGGCGGGAGGGGGGGGGGGGGGGGGGGGGGGGTGCGCAGTCGTTCGGCGCCTTTGAAGCCTCAAAAAACCCTGGAAGCCCTATAAATCCCAATTTTATAAACCGAAGCGTTTAGGGTTTTTTAACGTTCAAAAACCCTAAACCCTAAATGGGTTATTTAACGTTAACAAACCCTAAATGGGGTGTTTTAATGCTAAAAACCCCAAAGGACAAAAGGGGAGGGGACCTAAGTCGCCTCTTAGGCTTCTCTTGGAGACGATGCGGGCGCGCGGCTGGCGGAAGGAAGCCAGACTATCCAGCATCAGAACCCCCACCTAAACTCATCTTGACTCAAGTAGTTGCAAGAATTTTGCGAGTCAAGATGAGTTTGTGAGTTTGCTCAGGCGAGTTTCTGAGGGGAGAAATGGATCGGTTGTTGTTCTTGAGATTTGGATTGGCCGCTTGGCCTCGGCCCAGCAGTTCTCGGCACTTGCATTGCGGTTTAGGCTGTAGGGTTTAGGGTTTGGGGTTTAGGGTTTAGGGTTTAGGGTTGCAGGACGGTGGAGTTTTGAAGCTACCTCCGAACAAGCGTCGTCCTAGCGCAAGCTGAATGGGGCATGGCCTGAGGAGGAGAGGTCTCGTTTTTTCCACTTCCCGCCACTTCATGTGCCCCTACTCTTACGGTTTAGGGTTTAGGGTTTAGGGTTTAGGGTTTAGGGTTTAGGGTTTAGGGTTTAGGGTTTAGGGTTTAGGGCCAAGTTTAGGGTTTAGGATTTAGGGTTCATTCTACCTCCCAGAGCCCGCACGTGGAGCGGCGTGAAGAGGAAGATCTGGGCCTGGATGCCATCATCGTGGTGACTTGCGCAGTCTGGCTTCCGTTGAGTTTAGGAAGGTTTAGGGTTTTAGGGTTTTAGGGTTTAGGGTTTAGGGTTTAGGGTTTAGGGTTTAGGGTTTAGGGTTTCGCCTGGCTTTGGGGGATCATGCTTACGAGATTTCGGAAGGGCTGTTAGGGCTTGGGGCTTTCGAGTCGAGTTGGGTGCTCCGATTCGGCCGTTCTCCGTGTAGAGGTACCATGCCCAGTGGCCTAGCTTGTAGCTTCAGGTGTGTGGCTCTGGGTGTACCGGTTTGTAGATTGCGGCCTATCATAAGCATAAAGCCTTTGGGCCAAGCACGAATGTAAGGACGCAAAGCACTGGAGGCCCTTGTCTGATGCTCAAAGGCCCCAAGCCCAGGGCCATCCCAAACCCTAAGCCCTAAACCCTAAACCCTAAACCCTAAACCCTAAACCCTAAACCCTAAACCCCAAACCCAAACCCAAACCCTAAACCCTGAACCCTGAAACCTCAGCTTCCCAGGTCAAAGCCCTCCAAGCACCTGTATGCACACCGTACATCCCCGAAGCCCACGCAAACCCCCTTATTCAGTGCAGAAAAAATCACCAGCCGCGAGTCACCAGGCTCCTCTCAAAAGAGCCCTGAACACGAAACTAGGTAGGCCCTTGGGACATTTTATATCTTCCCTTAGTGGGCTAAAGAGGATAATGCTAAGGAATATCTTTCAGAGGCTCTTAAGGGCCATCCTAGGAAACGAAACCTCCTTGCCCTAAACCCTAAACCCTAAACCCTAAACCCTGAACCCTAAACCCTAAACCCTAAACCCTAAACCCTAAACCCTAAACCCTAAACCCTAAACCCTAAACCCTAAACCCTAAACCCTAAACCCCTAAACCCTAAAAGCCCCTTGGAAGCACCCTGAGGCGCCCCAAGCCCAGCGCCGGCGCTGCCTGGCGCGGCCGGGGATGACGGAAGGGAAGCTGGAGACTTGCTGAGCTTTTTTTGGCCTTGAAGGGTTTGTAGAGGTTTAAGGTTTAGGGTTTAGGGTTTAGGGTTTAGGGTTTAGGGTTTAGGGTTTAGGGTTTAGGGTTTAGGGTTTGGGGATTAGGGCTTATGGCTTTAAGGGTTTGCAGAGGTTTTGGGTTGGGGTGCAGGATTCAGAGTTGATCGGGCTCTGGGGCTATCAGAGGGTGAAGGGGGCTCAAAGGAGGGTAGGGCTTAGCAGCTTAGCGGCTGTTGGAAGAGCATATTTCGGGCTACTCCAGACTCCAGGTCTTCTTGGGGGGGGGGGGGGGGCGCGATCCTAGGGTGCGGCTCTCTGACTCGGGGTGTGAGAACGTACCGTTGGATGAGAGCATCAGAGCACATGCGGGTAGGCTGAGGAGAAGCTATGGCTTCTTAACCAGCCAAGCCCTGGCCCTACACTTGGCAAGTCTAAGCAGTCTAAGCCATCATCATCCCAAAGGGCCTGGTGGTACTTGTTTAAAAGCACGAACCTCCATCTCTCTCCAGCCTGCAAGCCCAACAACCCTTCACAAGGTTTCAAGGCTGGGCACCCACCCCATACCTAAACCTGCTCTTTGCCTACCCGCCCTAAATGGCGATGCTTGCCGCAGCTGAAAGGACTTCCTGCTGTCGCAGCAGCTGGCACCTGCCGAGCGGCAGGCTTATGCTGACTTCCTCGCCGCTTGACCTCGTTTAGGGCCTAAGGGGTAGCCTCCATTGCCGAGAGCAACATCATGGAAACCCACATCTCAAAATGCAGGCATGGGGTTCAAGGCTATCAGCAAACATGAAGTGCATCCCATGAACGCTGGGCTCGCAAGCTCCTTCCCTACGATGAGCCCCAACATACGGAATGTCCCTAAACCCTAAACCCTAAACCCTAAACCCTAACAGGTGGACAGCAGCCCAGGGGAGCTTGGGCTGCAGGCTTCCCTGTCTGCCGCCCGCGCGCAGGCCACCGGGAGGTCCAACTTGAGGAAGTTGGGGACCCTAAACCCCAAACCCCAAACCCTAAACCCTAAACCCTAAACCCTAAGCCCTAAGCCCTAAGCCCTAAACCCTAAACCCTAAACCCTATACCCTATAAACCCTAAACCCTAGCCCTCAGGTTGCCAAGTCTCGTTTTTTGGTGGGCCTGCTGAGATCTGGCATGCTAGAGATACTTGGGGAGCCGGAGTTCGGGGGCTTGAGGGCTGAGGGTTGGGATGTTCCCCCTGAATTATGCTAACAGTCCTTAATCGGGATTGAAATAGGGGGGTCCCTATGATGAAGGAGTTTCTAGTATAGGGCTAAAATAGGGGGGGGTGGGGGGGGGGGGGGGGGGGTGGTACTAGAATCCCTTTTTCAGGACTGTGAGTATAGCTTTGTGGCACTTTACTGTAACTTTAGATCCTTACCTTTTTTTGGGTTTATTGGGTTTCTTCTTAAGGCAGCTAAAAGTTTAATCTATAGCTACCCTCCTGAGTGCAGCCAAGATAAGGGGGAACATCCCAAGGCTTAGGATGGCTTTGCATGGCTTGGGAAGCCCACGCCATCGTGATCGGGATGATCGGGGTCCAGGTCAGCAGGTTGAAAACAGCTGGGAGTTTACGAAAATAGGGGACCCCCAAATTAATCCACAAATAGTAGGGATCCCCTTAGCATGAGGGCCCCAGCAAGGTACCCCTAGTTTCGGAAAACCCCCAGCTCTTGCAAGGCAGCAGGCGTGGTGCAGCAGCTTCTGGTGGCTCGGAGAGGTTGAGGATTAGAGCCGACATGCGCCACAGGACTTTTCATCTGCTTGGCCTCTACACACATCATAGAGGGATCCCCCCCAAACCCCAAACCCTAAACCCTAAACCACACGTTTGTTTAGAGTATGACCTGCAGCGTGGTAAAACCGCAAGAGCACGATGCACCTACAAGGTGAACACGCATGTGCAGAGGATTTGCAAACAACAGCAAACCGCAGTGCAATGCCGCACAATTGTCGGAACCACTGTGCCCAAGTTGTGATTATTATGCATATAACCCTCAAGTAGAATATCGTTGACACAGATAACGTCTTTGACACAGCAAGAAAGGTAAAAAGATGGAACCAAGATGGATAGGAGGGAAGAACACCAGACCCAAACGAGGCTCAGCTGCCTCGACCCCCTCGTTCTGCCTTGATACTTTGCCCACGCTCCGTGTCTGCTTTGAGTCTACTCTGAGTTTACTGTTGAGTCTACTTTTGAGTCTACTTTGGAGTCTACTGTTGGGTCTACTTTTGGGTCTACTTTGTTGTAGTGTCATCGTTCTGGTCGTTCGCTGTTTTGTCCACCTTGAACTCGAATATGTAAAAACAAGAAACCCTTGTCTGCACATGTGTATAGACTACCATTGTACTTTTGGGGTTTAGGTGCCCAAGGCCGGGAAACGTCAGCAATCACCCACTGCGTATATTATGAAGCAGGGTTTATATTACTGTTTTTGGTGAGTGTATATAAGGTTCCTGTTTAATATTGGTGAGTGTATATACCTGGTGTGGGTACAAGAAATATATACCCTATAGTGACTTCATATGGGCTTCAGGAGCCAAGGGCTTGCGCAAGAGCTTGGGGCCCCGTAAACCTGAAAGCCTGGGCTGTAAGTCTTTCGAGCGCCTGTCGAGCTCTCAGGCTTACTATAGGGGTCGGAAGAATTCCGAATAGTATTCCCTTATGGTCCTTTTATGATTATACTATACCAACCCCCCGAAACCCTATTCTAATTATTAAGGCCCCTACATTCGGCCCACCGCCCCACACCGGTAACTCAGGACCGCCATGGTGGACCATGGCCGTCTTTTGTCCGGGTGTTTGGGGCTTTTAGGATTGTCTGGCTGGTTCTTAGTAGGGAATGAGGGAATGAGTACCCTAGATAATCCCTTAAAGGATATTTATAGGGTTCTAATTCCCTCATTCCCTTCTAAGAACGAGGGGGTTGTTTAGGGCGTTGGGGGTTTAAGCGGCCAACAGTACTCATGGCCCGACTGTACTATCTACCCCCCGCGTGTGTTGGGTTTAGACCCCTGGACTAAGATCTGTCCAGCAGGCTCCTGCCCATCCATAACTACCGCTGCACGAATATGTAGGATTCCAGCTGCTACGGAGACTTGTTTATTTGCATTGGGATTGCGTGGGGTTGAAGTTTGGTTTAAGCGGTTTTTGGGTTTTCGGCTATCGTCGACACCAAATCATGAACACAAAGCACACACATGTCTACACAAACAAAGCACATACACATGTAAATACAGAAACATGAATTGGACAATACCAGGAGGGCGCTTTGGATATAAGTTGTTTATAACTTGGTTATAACTTAGTTATAAATCCTGTAACTGAGTTATAAGTGAGTTATAAGTATGTCGATTTTTGTTGAACTTATAAATGTTTATAAGTCACTTATACCTACTTGGCCTGTCGGACTTATGCGGACTTATGTGGACTTATAACTACTTACGAACCACCTTTTTTTTGTTGTCTTTGTTGTTGCTTTTCGTGTCATGTTGTTGTGATAAATCGGCTTTCCTTGTAGCTCGACTTGCCATTGCAGCCTCAAGGTTTTGTCCGTTTTCCCACTTGTAGCCGCGCTATGGCAGCCGCACCAGTGCGTCATGTTTCCACGCGCCGGGCCACGCAAAAAAGTCACTAACATCCTGCTCTACGTTCCGCAGCATCCTTTTGCCACCCTGATAAAATACCGGACAGCGCTGCCAATTGCGAGATCCTCGCTTTTCTCGCCGACGTGCTTGCGGAGCAGTGAGTTGCGGAGAGCTCCCGGGCTATGTCCGCGGGATGTCCGCGGGTGTCCGCGGATGTCCGCGGATGTCCGCGGCCTCCTCGGCCCCAGTATAGGCCTTTGCCTAACAGAGCATGTCCGCGCGGCCAAAACAATGTGTTCTGCTGGGGCTACACATGTAGGGCCAGGTTTTTCACGCCCGGCTCCCTGCTTTGGATCCCTATACCCTCAACCCCAAACCCAGCTACCAGAACCCAAGCCGAGCAGATGGTGGAAACCTTGCAGTGCCACAATTGCCGCTTGAGCAAGGCAGTCTCCCAACGCCGCCAGCACGGGCTACGCTGCCTGCGTCGGACGTGCGAGAGTGTCCAGTTGGCGGTTGCGAAAATGGGATGCGAAAATCACCATTCCTGGCAAACGGACGGCGATCGTACAAAATACAATTTTGTGAAAACCTGTAGGACTTAGGTCTACTTATAAGTTACTTATAAGTTCCTTATAACTCACTTATGAATACTCCAACCTAAGTCACTTATAAGTGGGTTATAAGTCCGCAAGTTCAAAGTGTCCTCCTGGTACCGATTTTTTGGATACATGTATATACACCACACATATACATGGACATATACACGGACGTACATATGTGCACGCGCAAAGCCTGAACTGGATGATGGCTCGATCAGCCGCGCTTAGGATCGCATCAGCCAGATTGCCGAGACCTTCGGAGAGAATCGAGTGTGTTACCTTCGTGCCGTAGTTGCATCTAAACCCTAAACCCGACAGCTCCCAGACGGCAATAGACTGCAAAACCCTAAACCCGAAACCCTAAACCCTAAACCCTAAACCCTAAACCCTAAGCAGGGTGCCGCATGCCGCGTGAAGTCGACGCCTAGAAAGTAACTTGCTGACAGCTTAACAGCTCCTCAGGACTTGGACGACACGCTTTTCCCGACGAAGGCCGGGATTCTTACCACGCTACAAGTACCACTAAAACTTTGTGAACCCGAAGTCGGGGAAGTCGATCCAACAAGGTCGTTGCATCTATGAGGCCACGAGCAGTGCAGTCAAAACGTGGAGGTAAGACCTGCAGCATGAAAAAACAAAGAGCTGGAGCTCTCCGAGCATCTGAAGCTTGAAGAAGCGAAGAACGACCAGCACCTGCCGAAGCCCACATCAACGAACAAGGAGCAAAAGACTTGAAGCCTTGCAGGCAAGGAATGCAACCATTCCCCCGACCCCACCCCCAAAGTCACCGAAAGACCTGAAACCAGAAATACCCCTAAACCCGAAGCCCTAAACCCTAAACCCCAAACCCTAAGCCCAAAACTTTCCTAAGCCCAAAACCCTACACCCTAGCCCAAACCACCACCTCCCTGCGCCAGGCCTCCCTACGCCAGGCTCTGACCGCCTTCCGTGCCGAAGTCGCGCGCCGGGGGACTTAGGGCTTTTAGGGCTCATAGGGTTGGGATGTTCGCCGGTTATATTAACAGCCCTGAATAGGGATTATAGTCTGGGGTACTATCATCCCTATCAAGGACTGTTAGTGTAAGGGGGAGCATCCCGACTTGTAGGGTTCATGGTGTTGATGGGGCTCAAGGCGGGTTCACGGATTCGTGGTTTCCGGGCGTGTTGCGTTAGAAGGTGTGTGCGCCGTAGACGCAGTTGAAAGAGCATAAACCCTAAAGCCTAAACCTTAAACCCAGCAGGGCTGTGGGTTGTGGGAACTCGCGCCCTGGACTGGGGACATGCTTTAAGGTCCAACATCTGAGCCCTGACTTCAGGCTTTCAACACGGCCCGCTGAACTGAAACAGGCCACCAATCCCTGAACTTACAGGGGGGCTCTTAAAGCTTTTTCAACCCTAAACCCTAAACCCTAAACCCTAAACCCTTGGGATTCGGGTTCTCCATCTCTTTGACAAGAAGGGACGAAGACGAAGCAGTGACGCTCCAAGGCCGCATGCCGAGACTTTGGCAACACTACAAGCAGGCCAGGACCTGAAACTGTCCCCGAAAAACCTCAAACCTCGAATAGGGTGTCTAAACCAGGGTTCTACAGGACACCGTGTAGGGTGTCTTTCGGTATATATATATATATATATGTACGAGGAACCTTCCTGTATTATGTGATCATGCGTCTTCTCTGAACATTCAAACGGGGGTTCGAATAGTTTGAATGGTTTGGGGTCCGGACTGGGGCCCCCAAACTATTCGAACTATTCGAACTATTCGAAACTATTCGAACTATTCGAACCAGGGGGGTTCGAATAGTTCGAATAGTTTGGGGGCCCGGCCTGGAGGCCCAAACTATTCGAACTATTCGAACTATTCGAACCAGGGGGGTTCGAATAGTTCGAATAGTTTGGGGGCGAGGGCTGGTGCCCCAAACTATTCGAACTATTCGAACTATTCGAACCAGGGCGGTTCGAATAGTTCGAATAGTTTCGAATAGTTCGAATAGTTCGAATAGTTTGGGGGTTGCCCGGGGAGACCAGTTTGGGAGGAAGGGGGGTTCGCATAGTTTGAATGGTTTGGGGGCCCGGCCTGGGGCCCCCAAACTATTCGAACTATTCGAACTATTCGAATTATTCGAACCAGGGGGGTTCGAATAGTTCGAATAGTTTGGGGGCGAGGGCTGGTGCCCCAAACTATTCGAACTATTCGAACTATTCGAACCAGGGGGGTTCGAATAGTTCGAATAGTTTCGAATAGTTCGAATAGTTCGAATAGTTTGGGGCGTCCCCGGGGAGACCAGTTTGGGAGAAAGGGGGGTTCGAATAGTTCGAATAGTGTGAGGGCCCCAGGCCGGGCCCCCAAACTATTCGAACTATTCGAACTATTCGAAACTATTCGAACTATTCGAACCAGAGGGGTTCGAATAGTTCGAATAGTTTGGGGGCCCGGCCTGGTGCCCCAAACTATTCGAACTGTTCGAACTATTCGAACCAGGGGGGTTCGAATAGTTCGAATAGTTTGGGGGCCCGGCCTGGTACCCCAAACTATTCGAACTATTCGAACCAGGGGGGTTCGGATAGTTCGAATATTTTGGGGGCGAGGGCTGGTGCCCCAAACTATTCGAACTATTCGAACTATTCGAACCAGGGGGGTTCGAATAGTTCGAATAGTTTCGAATAGTTCGAATAGTTTGGGGGGTCCCCGGGGAGACCAGTTTGGGAGGAAGGGGGGTTCGCGCCGGCCTGGGGCCCCCAAAGGTCAAAATTTGCCGGAATCCCCTTGGCACCCTGCAAAAGTCCCGCAAATACCGCACAAAACGGGAACGGGTAGGAACAACTTTGCGGGTCGAAATTTGCCGGGATCCCCTTGGCACCATGGAAGAGTCCCGCAAATACCACACAAAACGGGAACGGGTAGGAACAACTTTGCGGGTCGAAATTTGCCGGGATCCCCTTGGCACCCTGCAAAAGTCTCGCAAATACCACACAAAACGAGAACGGGTAGGAACAACTTGGCGGGTCGAAATTTGCCGGGATCCCCTTGGCACCCTGCAAAAGTCCTGCAAATAACACACAAAACGGGAACGGGTAGGAATAACTTTGCAGGTCGAAATTTGCCGGGATCCCCTTGGCACCCTGCAAAAGTCCCGCAAATACCACACGAAACGGGAACGGGTAGGAACAACTTTGCGGGTCGAAATTTGCCGGGATCCCCTTGGCACCCTGCAAAAGTCCCGCAAATACCACACAACACGGGAACGGGTAGGAACAACTTTGCGGGTCGAAATTTGCCGGGATCCCCTTGGCGCCCTGCAAAAGTCCCGCAAATAACACACAAAACGGGAACGGGTAGGAACAACTTTGCGGGTCGAAATTTGCCGGGATCCCCTTGGCACCCTGAAAAAGTCCTGCAAATGCCACACAAAACGGGAACGGGTAGGAACAACTTGGCGGGTCGAAATTTGCCGGGATCCCCTTGGCGCCCTGCAAAAGTCCCGCAAATAACACACAAAACGGGAACGGGTAGGAACAACTTTGCGGGTCGAAATTTGCCGGGATCCCCTTGGCACCCTGGAAAAGTTCTTCAAGTACCGCACAAAACGGGAACAGGTAGGAACAACTTTGCAGGTCGAAATTTGCCGGGATCCCCTTGGCGCCCTGCAAAAGTCCTGCAAATACCACACAAAACGGGAACGGGTAGGAACAACATTTGCGGGTCGAAATTTGCCGGGATCCCCTTGGCGCCCTGAAAAAGTCCTGCAAATGCCACGCAAAACGGGAACGGGTAGGAACAACTTGGCGGGTCGAAATTTGCCGGGATCCCCTTGGCGCCCTGCAAAAGTCCCGCAAATATCACACAAAACGGGAACGGGTAGGAACAACTTTGCGGGTCGAAATTTGCCGGGATACCCTTGGCACCCTGCAAAAGTCCTGCAAAAACCACGCAAAACGGGAAAGGGTAGGAACAACGTTGCCTGTCAAAATTTGCCGGGATCCCCTTGGCACCTTGCAAAAGTCCTGCAAATGCCGCACAAAACTGGTGCCCCAAACTATTCGAATTATTCGAGCCAAGGGGGTTCGAATAGTTCGAATAGTTCGAATAGTTTAGGGGGGTGGGGTGCCCGGGGAGACCAGTCTGGAAAGGAGGGCTCGTGCTGGATTGGGAGAAGGCCCTGGCTCGTAATTTAGTATTGGGGGAAGGCCCGGGCTCGTAATTTAGTATTCGGGGCAGGTCCGGGCTCGTAATTTAGTATTGGGGGAAGGCCCGGGCTCGTAATTTAGTATTCGGGGAAGGTCCGGGCTCGTAATTTAGTATTGGGAGAAGGCCCGGGCTCGTAATTTACGATTGGGAGAAGGCCCGGGCTCGTAATTTTGTTTTGGGAGTAGTTTGGGGCCCGGCCTGGGGCGCCCAAACTATTCAAACTATTCGAATTATTTGAAACTATTCGAACTATTCGAACCAAGGGGGTTCGAATAGTTTGAATAGTTTCGAATAGTTCGAATAGTTTGGGGGGGGGGCCCGGGGAGACCTGTCTGGAAAGGAAGGGTAGGCCATGGCTCGTAATTTAGTGTTGGGAGAAGGCCCGGGCTGGTAATTTAGTATTGGGGGAAGGCCCGGGCTCGTAATTTAGTATTGGGGGAAGGCCCGGGCTCGTAATTTAGTATTGGGGGAAGGCCGGGCTCGTAATTTAGTATTGGGGGAAGGCCCGGGCTCGTAATTTAGTATTGGGAGAAGGCCCGAGCTCGTAATTTAGTATTGGGAGAAGGCCCGGGCTCGTAATTAAGGCCCGGGCTCGTAATTTAGTATTGGGAGGGGGGGTGTTCGAATAGTTTGGGGCCCGGCCTGGGGCGCCCAAACTATTCGAACTATTCGAACTATTCGAAATTATTCGAACTATTCGAACCAAGTGGGTTCGAATAGTTCGAATAATTTCGAATAGTTCGAATAGTTCGAATAGTTTGGGGGGGGGCCCGGGGAGACCAGTCTGGAAAGGAGGGAGGGGAAGGCCCTGGCTCGTAATTTAGTATTGGGAGAAGGGCCTGGCTCGTAATTTAGTATTGGGGGAAGGCACGGGCTCGTAATTTAGTATTGGGGGAAGGTCCGGGCTCGTAATTTAGTATTGGGGGAAGGTCCGGGCTCGTCATTTTGTATTGGGAGAAGGCCCGGGCTCGTAATTTAGTATTGGGAGAAGGCCCGGGCTCGTAATTTAGTATTGGGAGAAGGCCCGGCTCGTAATTTAGTATTGGGAGGGGGGGTGTTCGAATAGTTTGAGGTTCGTCAAGGCGCCACGTCGCAAACAAATCACCTAAGTAAGCCGGTGAAGGCGCAAAATTGCCAAAAGTCGCAATCTGGTAACATCCTTATGTTTTGGCCTTAGCTGGGGGTGGGTGCAGGCGCAAAATTACAAAAAGCACGGTTTGATGGAAATCCTTATGTTTTGGCCTTGGATAGGGGTCCGTCAAGGCGCCACATTGCAAAAAACAACCAAACTCAGGAAAATCACAAAAATCAGCAATTTGATGAAAATCTTTTTGTTTTGGCCTTAGCTGAGGGTCGGTGAACGCGCAAAATTGCAAAAAATCACGAAAATTGAAAATCCGGATGTTTTTGCCTTACCTGGGGGTCTGTGAAGGTGCAAAATTGCCAAAAATCGCCCAAATGAACAATAATTTGGCGAAAACACCTATGTTTTTGGCTTTAGCTGGGGTCCGTGCAAGACGCAAAGTCATCAACATCAGCAATTTGGTGAAAACCCTTTTGTTTTTGGCCTTCATTGGGGGTCCGTGAAGGTGCAAAATTTTTAGGGGAAAACAATGAGTGAACGCTTCGCTTAGCATTTTCCTTTTCCTCTTTTCAGGAGATAAAACTCGGAGGGTTCTTTCAGAAGAAGATTGTTGATACTTAACGAATATGCCACAGAGGCCCCTTAAAATTAGAAAAAACCTCTTACATTCTTTAAAACCCTTGAAGATTGAAAAGGAGCAAGTCTTCTGAGCAAGGACTCGGAAGGACCCTTTACACAGCTCCATCTCAGACCAAAACATAAGGGTTTTCACCAAATTGCTCATTTTGTTGGATTTTTTCCCCTTTTTTGCTCCTTCAGGGACCCCAACTTAAAACACGATCTGAATTCACTAGATCTTCAGCGAATATGGTTTGGAATAGGGTTAGGCTTAAGCTTCAGCCATAAGGTTCGCGATTCTCCCCCCTTTCCCGCAACCTCGTCGTGCCCAGGTGCGTGGTTTAAGAATCTAGAATTAATAGACCTCAGTGTCCGGCGCAAAACCTTAAACAACTAAGGCTCATGCGTGCGTTTTGGCCTTAAACGTTAAAGGAATAGGTTTAGGAATAAGGCTATGTCCCAAAACTAAATAAGAAGCATGTGTAAATCTTGGAATTTACCCTAAGCCTTCGTCGAATACGCTGTTTAGAAATCTAAACCTTAAACGAGAAGGGTATATGAGATATGTATTTGTGAGTATTGGGGATGATGTGTGTGTGAGAAATGAGAATTGTTCTGGGTGACCCTTTGGG